ATGGTACCTTAAAAACAATCTCTAGTTATGGCCTTTTTGTATCATCTAGTTAATGTACAGTATTTATTGGTTAAGAGCATGTTCTATTCAAAAAGATGAAAAGCAGATTCTCTGGAAAGGTGTTTTCAATATATCAGACACAATAGGATTAACTCTCAGTGGTGTTCCTTAACATCAGCAGAATTCTTTGTTGTCCTGTGCATTGTGGGATATGTAGCATAATCCTGCTGTCATATATATATATACACACACACAAGTATGTATAAATACATATATGTATATATGTACACACATATGTATATGTAATCTGTTTTTAAAAAGATCTAGAAAATACTGTGCACTCATATGGACCATTGACAAAAGATAAAGGCAGAATTATTATTGAAAATATTAACCACTGAGATTGCATAGGTACCAACCAACCAAAATGGTTGCTGAACTACAGTCAGCTGTATTGTTTGTGTCAACTGAATATCGGGTAGAAAAATGATGCAGAGCAAAGATTCTCATTTGTGCCAAAACTGGGGTCAGGGAGAATATGTGTATGTGAATGTGTCTGCTTATTTTTATATATTTGAATATGCATGGTTTAGAATTATACAAAATAAACTGATAACAGCTGTTGTCTCTTCTGAGGAAGTGACTAAGTTCACCGTGTACTTTATTATTTCAAGCAGCTCAGTTTTGAAAGTATAAGGGAACTATTAATTATCCCAGAACAAGAGGCATAAATACATACTAGACTGGTGAGTTAATATACGATCACCCTTGAAATGGGGCACTAATGTTAGAAGTTTCAAAGCTTGGAGCAGTTTCCCTAATTCTATCATTCAATGATATGTTGCTCCTACCCTTCTTGTTTGTTTGTGTGTTTGTTTTCAAAAGGGCTCTAGAAAATGGAGTGGATATTCAATCTGTAATGAAATCAGGATGAAGACTGTCAAGAAATTTTTTGTATCGTTTTTGCTTTATTTCATCATTAAAGAAGAAATATAGATATTAAGGTAAAGGCAGAATCTGGGTGTGGAGAATTTTATCTAATAAACATCTTTATAATTGTACTAAAAAATCTCAAGAACCTCTGAAGCTAAGCTCTCTGTAGAGTTCAAGTTATTGATTTGCCAGACATGTTTGTAAAACTCAGATGCGACTGTTTCTTCAAAGTTTCTTACTTATTCTTGCCTTGTCTTTGAACATTCAGTGAAAGTTTCGGCATGAGTAAACCAAATTCAAACACAATTAACTCTGAGATGTTATCTGGTAGTGTATGTGTTCCAACCACCTTGATATAAAATTAAGACAAATCATTAGAAACGATACTACATGGACTAGGGAATTAGAAGAGATGATGATGGCAGGTAATCACCAGATGTTTATCTCATGCAATTCTTTACCAGTGAACTCTACATACATTAGACCAATTAATCCTTAATTAAAAAATACCTTGTGAGAAATAAGTATGAGTAGTGTTCTCATTTTATATATGAAGAAAAAAAATTGAATCTTAGAGAGGTTAAGCAACTGCTAGATCACATAACTAGTAAGTGGCAAAGTCAAGGTCAAGCCCAAGTCAGTGTTCCCTGTCCTGTTAGTCCTGACCTGTGCTACCTCTACAGCTCTATGATTGTCCGTTCCACTTCCAAGTCAAACATGTCTCTATTTTCTAAAGTAAAACCAGGACGTGGAGTTTGACTGTGGGTGAGTGTTGTCATGGTTTTCTCCCTTAAAATCCAACATGTAAAGTTTGGGTAATGAAATAAGATGTCTCTTAAATCTTTTGGTTTCTGTTCCCTCCCCAGTGCAGTGAGAAAGGTAAACCAGATGATGTCGAAGACTTCAGGAGCTTTATGAAAACAGAACACCTCCCTTCGTTACAGGAATTTTTTTTTTGAGTACCTTACAAACACTAATTGTTGGCTCTTCCTAATGGTTCTGTGCACAGGATTATTATTCCCTTGATAGTGGTGTTTAAACTAAGGCCCAGGGGACGTGTGTACGTACGTAACCTAAATCAGATCACTACTGGACTCAAACCTGGAGTCTTGTTTCCAACTCTGTGTTCTATCCACTCAGTTATGCAGACTCTTGTTATAAACCTAAGAAACATTATAGATTTAGAATACAAATTACAAATATAAGTCTCAAACATCAGAGATCTTCCATGGAGACCTACTTCTACAGGGGAAGCAAATTTCTGTCTCAGCTGTTTCTTTCTGCTTCTTGTGTTGAGCTTTGAGTCCTCTGTAGCTATGCTCTCCACGGAGGCCTAAGAGAAGACACCTCTTTTTCTATTCTCTCCCCAACACCCAAGCTGTCCTCACCATCATCCCACCTTTTGAGGCTACTTGAGGATTTGAGGAAATCATGGGGATGAAAATGGGGTCAAGGAAGGCAAGCTGAAAAAAAGCATGTTTTCCATAACTCAGATATAGTGTCATAAATTAGAGGAGCAAAATTCAAGCTAGAAAATGCATCTCTTATCTGGTTTTCTCCTTCTGCCTAAATTCTTTACTACCATCCTACAAATATATATGCCCTATAGTTTGGTAAAGAATAAACTCTGGTTAAGGACATCATTTCTTTTCAAAACCCCTCTTCAGAGTATTCAGCTCAGAGTTAACTCTTTTACATTCCCCAAATGTAAATTAAAACCCTGAGAGTGCTAGGCACTGGTCCAGGAATTGTGGGGATACCAAGAGGAATGAGGCATAGGAGCCCAAGACAGACCTGAGCCTATTCCCTATGCTCACAGTTCCTGCCCCACAGGCCTTGAACATGCTACTTAATGTTTCTGGTAATAACAATGTCCACATACTGAACCCATGCTGTGGGCCAGGCATGCGCTTTATAAATTCCATTGCTAACACACATGACAATTATGATGGCTAAGATTTATTACCCCATTTTATAGATTATACTACTGAGGTCTTTAATTAGTAAACTAGGGTTCAAACCAAATTCCCATACACTTTCTATGATGTCCTCTTGCAGTTTCAACCTCACTTTCCTGTCCTGTGAAATGGAGTTAGATAATTCCTTTCTCTGAAAGGATGAAATGGGGTCATAGAGAAAACGTGTGGTTCACAATCAAGCACATGTATTTATACAATAAAAGCCCATTCCTGTTATTATAAAAGAAAATAACATAAGGGCATGTAGAAGCGCCTAAAGTGCTACATGAAGTAAGAGGAAGGAGCAAATCTTCCTAATTGGACAGTGGTTTTGTGGTATTGAAGCAGATCTTGAAAAGTGGAGTATGTGTGGGTGTGTGGCAATAGTAGATGGGGATGAGAAGTAAGGAAACATTTTCTAGATGAATTTTAAAGTACAAAAATAGGGGCCTCCCCTGGTGGCGCAGGCGGTTGAATGCAGCGCTGTGAAGCTGTCCACACCCTCTGCAGCTTCTGTTCGATCCCCGCCAGCTGGCGAGGGTCCCACATGGCACAGCAGACCTCTCCTGTCTCGCCCGCTGCTCCCCTCAGCAGTGTATTTCATCTGTCTGCCTGTTCTGTTCCCCGCTCTGGCTCTGGTGAATCTTCTCACCCTCCCGCTCATCTGGCCTGTACCCTGGTTCTTGTATAAAATAAATAAATAAATCTTAAAAAAAAAAAAAAAAGACTCAACCTATGACGCTATTAGCAGCCACTGCAGCACGAGTTCAATCCCTGGCCAGAGAGGTACCCACATAGCGCAGCAGACCTCTCCTGACTTGCCCGCTGCTCCCCTCAGCAGTGTACTTCAGTCTGCCTGTTCTGTTCCCCATTCTATCTCTGGTGAATCCTCTCCCCTTCCTGCGCATCTGGCCTGTACCCTGGTTCTTGTATAAATAAATAAATAAAATCTTAAAAAACAAAAAACCCTGTCTTAAAAATAAAGTACAAAAATGAAATTTGTCATGGCCCCACATGTTTTCAGTAATTTTTTTCAAAGCTTCAGATATTAAAGCTTCAAATATTGCTAAAGGAACTAGAAAATTTAAACTCCTTGCTTTTGAGAGAAAGAACAATCACATCATGAATTCTTCAACATTAAATTGGATTGTAGTCACAGAGAGAGGGGCTGCCTGCCATCCTAACTAATACCCTAGTCTAACTAATACCTAGCTAACTAATACCCTACTCTAACTAATACCTAACTAACTAATACCCTACTCTAACTAATACCCAACTCTGCAGCAGGACTTGAGATGAAATGATAAATGTCATTATAGAAGAGACAAGACTAGCAAAACCAAAAGACTGAAATTCAGGCTTCCCAGACAGTCCATGTTCCTTCCTTATCCAGTCTCCTTTGTGCCCCAGACAGTGTCCCTTGGAACTAGTTTTGAAAGTGAGCATACTCTGCCTGCTAGTCTGCTTCCAGTTGAATCATCAGCACCAAATATTTAAAAAGAAATAGAAAAACTCATTACTTGGGTATGAAATGAATTTTTCTGCTACAGGTTCCTATAGCAAATAGACCTTAAATGTGGATGGGAAAAAGAACACTCCTATAAACCACCAAGATGCTAAACATGGCCGTGCTGTATAAAGCTTACAACCTAAATTTACAGGAGAACTTACTTTCATTTTTTAAGTACAGTTCCTGTGTAAGAATCTTGATTGTAAAATATAGAAGTCCTTTTTTAGTCACTTTCATGTTTTTCAGGTAAAATAAAACCAAGTTCAGAATAAATCAAGGAGCTAGAGAAGCAGGAAAGGGATGAGTGATTACTTACACAAAAGTCACAAAAGTCTGCAAGTCAGTCAAGGTAACCAAAAAACAAAAACGACAAAAAAAAAAAAAAAAAAAAAACCAAAATAATGCACCACAAGAGCGCTTCCCCTTCAAAGAAACTCTCACAACTTATTTTGCCATAGAGGAAGATAAATGTTACAATATCTCTCTAGCCAATCAGCATCACTGCAGGCCTCAAACCAGGAAGCCCTTTAATGTGTTGTATTTTAAACTGTGCAAGTAACTTCTGACTCTCAGCCAGTTTTTGTTCCCTATGCTTGTAGGATGGGAAAGCAGATGTAAAGTCTCTCATGGCGAAGTTTAACACAGGGGGCAACTTGACAGATGAGGCCTCCTTCAGCAACCGGCCCTTCAAAGTCACAGGGCAAAACTCACCTTCAGGAGTACAAGCTAAAAAGAATTTATTCAACAACCAAGGAAATGCCAGCCCTCCCACAGGACCTAGCAATGTACCTAGATTTGGGTCCCCAAAACCACCGTTGGGGGTGAAGCCTTCTTCTGACGAAAAACCTGACAAGGAGCCCAAACCACCATTTCCAAAGCCAGCTGGAGTGGGCCAACGATTTGGGGCTCCAGCAAACTCAGCCACCAGAGACCCTGAGGTGAAAGCAGGATTTCTGAAACCTACAGGCCCCAAGCCCATCAACTTGCCCAAAGAAGATTCCAAACCTGTATTTCCTCGGCCTCTTGGGAATAAGCCTCCGCTGCAAGGGATAAACCAAGACCATGATGTAAGGCCTCTAGGCCAGAAGCCCAGGTCTAATCCTCCAAGCCAGGAAAATGAACAGAATCAAGTGTTTCCAAAGTTGGCTGGGGTTAAAGGCAAGTTTACTGCAGCCACACAAGAACATGAGGCCAAGACCCCAAAACCTGCCTTTGGTCAGAAGCCATCCCAGGGTATAGATGATTCCCATGTGGAGGAGAGCCCCACTAAGAATGCACAGAAAGGACCCCCAGGTTCCTTGGGACCCAAGTTCAAAACTGGCCCTTTAAAACCAGCAAGAGAAGACTCAGAAAATAAAGACCATGGAGGTGAGACCTCAGGTTCTCCTTTTCCTGGAGTAGTTCTGAAATCAACTACAAACAGAGGAGGCCCAGGCCTCCCCAAAAATGTCGAAGAAAAGAAAGAAGACAGGAAGATAGATGCTGCTAAGAACATCTTCCTGAGCAAAGTGAATCAGGAAGAGTTGCCTCCTGGGCCGCCTCCTGCCAAGTTCACTAAGACCCCTTCTAAGCTGACAATAGGAGGGCCCTGGGGCCACAGCCAAGAAAAGGAAAAGGGAGACAAGAGCCCGGCCACCCCTAAGCAGAAGCCATTGCCCCCCCTGTTCACCTTGGGCCCGCCACCACCGAAACCCAACAGACCACCAAATGTTGACCTTTCGAGATTCCGAAAAGCTGCAGCTGGAAATGGTGAGCTATTTTCTTCTTTGCTATTCACTATGCTTTGTTGCACAGCAGAGGGTGTTTGAGCTACTGGGGGACAGTTGTAACAGGAAGGTTCCTATCCCTGGCACTCCTATATATTTGTTGACTTTTCTTTAATATCTTTCCTCCTTTGACATGGGAGGTACAAGAAGGTAGAAGACCTCAATCCTATATAGTCATTCTGGGAGAAAATGTCTTCGTAGGCTGGTTTTGGGGGTCGAAGGAAATATATCTATTCGGTCAATGTGTAGTTTTGCTTAATAATAAACATTTCATAAATGTCCTTAGTTAGGTTTCTTTTCTTTTGAATGAGACTGAGTTGTTAATACCATAAAGTAGAAAGATAAGCAAACCTCTAAGTCAGTGGTTCTCAAACTAGGGCAGTTTTGCTGCCCAGAGGACATGTGGCAATGTCTGAAGACACTTTTGATGGTCACAGCTGAAGTGTGCTACTGGCATGTAGTTGATAGAAAGAAGCAGGGACACTGCTGTAGACCCTACAGTGCTCAGCCCTGCTTGGTCCAAAATGTCAAAATTACATAAGTTGAAAAGCTCCCCTCCATCTGATTTTAAATGTCCTCAAACTTGTCATATATTTCCAGAGCACAATATTCAAGTAAGAGATGAATAGAACTCTTGTAAAATGACACTATCTGTTTTATATTTTAGCTATTTTCCATTTCTCAGTGAAAGTTTCCTGAATTTTCTGATTCATGAAGCAGTACATAACTAGGAAAATAAACCAGACAAAGGAAACATATTTTTCTGGGCAAAAGGTTTAGTTCAGGTGTGTGTGTGTGTGTGTGTGTGTGTGTGTGTGTGTATGTTTTAACCAGAAGTGTTATCACACTATTATGGCAATGCTGTAATTTGATATTCAATGATTTAATAAAGATTTCTAGCACTATATAGTGAACAGAGAAGCTCACTGAATATAAAATATATAATATTGTAACATGTAATAATGCCTGAAATAATTAGTATTTTAGGCAGATAATGTGTAACTGTTGTGTATTATAAGGGGGGTAAGGATACTGACAAGTGACCACTTCATTATTAGATGTAGTTTTCTAATATACATGGTCTAGTTAAAAACATCATAGGTATAAATATTGGTATTCTCTTTTAGCTCTATAAGAGCATCTTGCTATATGCCATCTTCCTGAGAAAAGGATTTCTTGGCATTGATAAACAGACCACATGATCAAATCTCCTATTAATCTATTATGTAGAGAGCAAGTTTGGAATGAGTCCACCACCATTCTTCTTCCAAAAAGATTCAGTCTTGTTACACTTCGTAATTCCTTACTGTCACCTTCTCCTTTTAAAACTGGTCTGTAACTCAGAACTGTCATTTTTAAAAAGGAACTCAAAGATCCTTTATATTTCCCTTTTGCATACCCGCCCCGCAACATACCTTCCCACTGCTCAGTTGCCCCAAGACATAGTTCAGATTTGAAATCCTCTCCTCAGTGTATTCTACTTCCAATCTCTGATTCCTCAAGATATAATTCCAAATGGATCCTGTTACTCTTAATCCATCTCTTCCCAAAAAATCAAAGCTCAATTCTTCTGAATTAAAACTCACTTCATGGCCTCCCTAGTGGTGCAAGGGGTTAAGCACCGCACTATGAAGCAATCCGCAGCCTCTGTAGCATGAGTTCGATCCCTGGCCGGCCAGGGAGTAACACACATGGCGAAGAAGACCTCTCCTGTCTCGCCTGCTGCTTCCCTCAGCAGTGTGTTTCAATCAGTCTGCCTGTTCTGCTCCCCATTCTGTCTGTGGTGAATTCTCTCACCCCCCACATCTCTGGCCTGTACCCTAGCTCTTGTATGCATAAATAAATAAGTCTTTAAAAAAAAACTCACTTCAGATTGTTATCAAGATAAAGGAATCTGATTCATAGTTTTAAATCCTGAATAACTTCCTTTTAAAGTATTCACATTTTTAAAGCATTTAATTTTTTAAAAGATTTATTTTTTTATGCATAGAAGAACTGGGGTACAGGCCAGAGGTGTGGAGGCTGAGAGAATTCACCAGAGAGAGAGTGGGAAGCAGAACAGGCAGACTGAGAAATACACTGCTGAGGGGAGCAGCGAGCAAGTCAGGAGAGGTCTGCTGTGCCAGGGTTTCTCCCTGGCCAGCCGGGGATTGAAATTGTGCTGTAGGGGCTGCAATAGCTTCGCAGTGCTGTGCTTTACCCCTTGTGCCACCAGGGAGGTCCCTAAAGCATTCAATTTTTAAACTGAATTTTTTTAAGTAGAAATTACATCTGACTCAAAAACAGCAATTATAAAATGATATACAGTGAAAAGCCACCTTTAGTCCTTGTCTTCCCAGGCTTTGTTTCACAATAACCATTCTTGTGAATCTCCAGGCCTATCTAAAGTTTTGTTATGTTTGCACAAGTAAATATAATAGCAATCTTGCTAGCTTTATTCAAGAAGTAGAATACTGTATATAATATTCTAGTTGTTGCTTAAAAAAAAGCATTAATCCTATATATCTTTCCATATTTTAACAAGAGATAATTGATTATTTTTTAGAGCTGTGTAATATTCCAATAAACGGAAGATTCATCTAATTGATTTAACAATTTTTGTTGTATACAAACTTTTGCTATTAGATCATATAAAAACAAGAAGAAGGAATCATGCAACAGAAAATAATCTTGTAAATGTAATAAAAAGTATTTGTTTTCTGAACACAGAATATTTAATTGTCAGGTCTCCTGATCCTATCACTGCTATTTTTCCCAAACCATGCTATAAATACTGTCATTTAGCATTCAATTAAAGAAGGTTAAAACTATATCAGAATTACAAAGTATATAGTGCTCAAACTAATGTTTCAGTTAATAACTCTATAGTTTTCCAGAACTCTAAAACAATTTTCTTAGCCTTCTGATTCCTTCTGATTTCTCAAACTCTCTACCTTTAGCATGTTTGTCTAATATATTAGCCATTAAAAATATTTATCATGGGGCCTCCCCGGTGGCGCAGCGGTTGAGTGCTGGGTTGCAAAGCTGCTAGCAGCCTCTGCAGCGCCGGTTCGATCCCCGGCCACCGGCGAGGGTCCCACATGGTGCGCAGACCTCTCCAGCCGCCCACTGCTCCCCTCAGCAGTGTATTTCATCGGTCTGCCTGTTCTGCTCCCCACTCTGGCTCTGGTGAATCCTCCAACCCTCCCACACTCTGACTGTACCCAGTGCTTGTATAAATAAATAAATAAATCTTTAAAAAAAAAAGATTAAAAAAAATTTATCATGTGTTGAGGATTAGTTATATAGCAGATACACTCAGCCCTGTTATTCCTCCCAAGAACCTAATGAAATAGGAAATCTATGCAGAAACTCAAGCCTAGAGGGGTTAGGCTGCTTGCACAAAGCCACAGTGCAATCAAGCAGGGGGAAGCTGATGCTCACTTCTCAGGGATTCCAAAGTCCATGTCCCCTTTCCAGCCCTCCCTGCTGGGCTGCCTCTCTTAAACCACAGGGCATAATGAGATAATAAATCAAGCATAAGTTCAACCCAAAAATCTCCTTCCTCTCCTTTTCTGTACTTTGGTTAAAACATGTCATCATCCTCATTATTACAAATAATAAAATAATATATTTATATAATGTATAAAACTGAGACCAGTCTGCTTACCATTATTTATTTAGAGTACAGGGATAATGTAATTCCTGTTAGTTGCTCAAATTTGTCCTCTCACCAAAATCTATTTAATCTAAATTTAGTATTAATACTGTCTGCAGCTTAGCAATTGCTTTAGTGCAAATATAACCTCTGCCAATAGACTTGCACCCAATTGAAGGGAGTTGGGATGCAAAATGTATATATTACACAAGGTCTATGTTGTCGATCTATTCAGTTTATTCAGTCAACCATGAATTTCAGTAAATCATGTTGCTTTTCTGAAAATGCCTTAAAAGCTAATAACTTTTAATTTCCAGAACCATTTAAACTTGTGAAAGCCTAAGTTTAAGTTTTACAAAAAAAAAAAAAAAAAAAATCAGAGAGATCAAAATTTCTCTGAACAAACCTCTTCTCTGGTTCCTGTTGGTTCCCAGAGCAGTGGTGAAAGACTTCCTCTGAAGCAAGCCTGTGTGCTTTCCCAGCAAGCTTGGGCTGTTAAGAGCCTTGGGTGTTGTTTTGCACTTAAGAGCTAGTTTTAACTAAAACTTCTGGGAAATACTCAGTCCATTCCTTTTTCTACTTGTCTTCTTAATACAGAGAAACAAAGATGTGTTATTCTACACTCCACTGAAGAACGATCAATTAGGCATCTTGACAACTGAAGGGGTAAAGCCAGGGTCATAGAGGGTGTTAGGCAAAGGCAAATGGGTGCACTGACCCCTCCTTATCTGAGTGTCACATTAAATAATCAGGCCTACAGCAATTTGCAACCAAAGCAATTTGCAACCAAAAGGTGTTTGGATTATTTCACTGATAAGTAACTTATTTCTTGGAAGGGGCAAGATTTTCCTTACAGACCTGAGGCTAATGCATTTCTAGTTTCCTTCACTCTCATTTGCATGCATTGTTTTACAATTACTTTGTTAGATATTTATATATTGAAAGGCATTTCAAATCCATGTGAATTGCTCCTACCCACAACCCAATCATTAATAGAAAAAGGATTTTGTGCTTTAACACTTTTAAGAATTGGAGGGTGAATGGACTCTTTACAGCAGAATTTCTGCAAGCATTGATATGTTTCATGCCCTTAGAATCTGAGAACAAAGTCCCTAAAAAGCAGATCCCAGGACACTCTGAGACATTTCACAAACTGGACAGTTTCAGGATGGAAAAGCTTAGAGATAAGGCTCTATGGAACACAGAATGGGACTGGTTGAACAAAATGGTGTTTCAGCTTCAGGTGGCTACATGGCTCTCCATTTGCTGTTGTGCTTTTGTTACAGGGAAGGGGAGAAGTATACCCCTGAACCCCCAAACCTACTGGCTCTAAATAGGTTCTGCCA